TATTCTGCAAGACCTGCTTCCTGTGGCTGAGGTCTCTCAAGTTGGAGACCTGACCTTTCAGCTTCATGGCCATGTCCCTTTCCGTGGCGGGCGGTGGCTTGGTGATCTTCTCTACCAGGGCCTTGACTGCGGTTGGAAGTTGGGAAAGGTTTTCCTTGAGGACATCCGTGAGATCTGGCTCAGGATTCGGTTCCTGGGGCTTGATTCCCAGCTGTTCCAGCTGTTGTTGAAGCTTTGAGTCAAGGGTGCTCCATGAGGTAGTGAGCAAGTCTGCCGTGGCCTTGAAGGTCTGATTGACTCTGCCATTTTTCCCAGTCCCCAATCCTGGGGGTGGAGAGATGGGCTTTTGCCTTTGCTCCTGCTTCCGTGGGGACCTGGTTGGGGATCTCCTGGAGAAACCATAGGTGGGCTTCTGCCACTCCAAACCACATTTCCAGCAGACAAAACCTTCACAGATCTTGTCCTCCCACATCCAGTTGGAGCATGTAGAGCTCTGGCAGCATTGGTAGGTGCGTCCCCATCGCATGGCCTCGAGGTCAATCGTGTAGTTGAAGCCTCCCGCCTCTGGCTCGTTAGCGAGGAGGTAGTAGACGCGAAGTACCAAACAGTGGCACCGCTGAGCTTGAGCCTTGAGCCAGAAGGCTTGAGCCGGTAATAGTATAATACATATATAAATATATATATATATACAATCAAATGAGGAAATAGTTACGGTATCAACTCCGAACTGGTCGTGGATGCGCAAGACCTTCGTCGCGTTGTGTTTGTTGGCAATTCGGAGATCGAGAGAGGTAGTCTTGCAGCTGAAGTGGTGGAAACTCACCGCAATGCCGTCCTTGCCTGGCTCGTTTGCACAAACGGACGATTGAGCTCCTGAGGCTGTTAAGAAATGAGATGGGATTGAAATGGATTCGCCCACCATGTGACACAAGCACCGCCGATCGAGCAACCCCTTGTTTAGCACAGTACTTCACCGAACTTCCATACGCTGCCGACGATCGCGACACTTGCGTTCATCCGATCCAATCCGCGTTGGGAGCTGGGAGGCGGTGAGCGGTTCAGGATGCAAAGCCCCCCAAAAAAAACAAGTCTAGTGGTCCCCAAAGAGATGACCGTGGCACGGTTTCCAATACCATGTCTCAGTGGGGGATCTACTTTTCTATCTATTTGGGGGTCTCATAATGCACCGCTCACTGCAGCGCAGTGAAGAGCCGGTGAAGTGTTGGTCCGTCTGAGGTGCGAGGTTGGCACCGGCTGAACGAACCAGCCGGGGTTCCGGGCTGCAATGTCCCTAAAGACCATGCAATGCTCGACCTGACGCCGCTTTTGATTTCCCCTGTGGCTTTGTAAATACTGAGGCGCACCTCATAAACTCAGTTTGCCCTAAAGGTAAGACATCATCCATAAATGACAAATCACATTCAGTCCCATATGCCGCTATAGGCGTGACTGACGATCATCTGCCGACTCGCTGCGAGGAGCACACGCCACTTGGCTTCAGCCAGCACAGCTCAAGCGGGAACCCACTGCCCAAACCCAAAGAAACGCTCATGAATCCCTCAAGGGAACAAAGATCCTGGCAAGAACCTGCGAAACAGTGCTAAATCGAACTATAAAGGTGAACATGAGAACTTCCAAACTCCTTAGCTCTAGTTGTGGATGTGCTTAAGGAACCGGGAAAACCATGGAAAACAGCAGTCTTCCTCAGAAAAGGATTCACTCAATATAGAAACACTTGCCCTGCCGAAGCAAAGTCAGTTAGAGCACATTAGTCGGACACGGTGCCCAGTGTTGAACCAAGCAAATTAAGCAGAGGTCAAAGGGCTGCTTCGAGCCATCTGGGCGGCGCGCACTCCAAACGAGGAGTAGTTAGCAGCCTCCCAGACATGCATACAAGCGAACATGATCTTCCTCCAGGTGAAAAATAATGTCGATCTTTCGTCCAGGGGTGCATGGCAGTTTTCTCTTTGTCCAGGCTCTTTGTTCAGGTGTCTGAGAGTCCGCCAGACCTCTCTCTCTCTCTCAAAACGGCCGTAGATCTTGGTGAACGCTGCTAGATTTCAGGAAGTCTTCTTCCAAATGATTTTCTCCTCCGATGCAATTGCGGCTACTATCCATAGACCGGATGGAAGAGGAAAAAAATGCAGACGCTCGAAACTTCTTGTGAAAGGGGCAAGTTCTGGCAGTTGCTTTGAAGGATGAACTCACCACGCTTAGACGCCCAGCCAGTCTGGTGGTCGAAGCTCACTCGCACGCCTGGCGCGGAAATCATGTCGTGCCAGCGCGCGTGGGCGGGGTTAAGAAGGTGAAAGGAGGAGATGCCACGAGAGTGGCTTCCAACAGGTTCAATCAATTTCAAGCATATCATCATGCCAGTCCCAGGTTACAGTAGGTGTATTTTGTCAGGGTCCTCACGGCCTCACCTCAAAAAGTGATTAACTGGACGGTCACTGGGAAGGGGGTGTCCAACCCATTAGGATGTTTCGGGGCCAATCTTTAAGAGTATTTAAAAAGGTCCCAGGCCCAGGTATAATGTTTGGGACCAATCTTTCCAGTTTAAGTGCTTCATGTTATGGAAGCGTGACGCCTACGCCTTATAGGTCATCGACACCTCCAACAAAAAGGCCATGTGCCAGGATTTTCGGGGCATGGGGCATCTAAAACAAGAAGGCCCCTTAGAGGTGACACTGGGTGCCCATGAACCACCCCAAACATTGTCGTGGTGCCTATGAATCAAGCATGTGAGGTATGGTGCCTCCTTGGCAAAGTTCCAGCACCTCCCACTCTACCCAAAGACCCACTCCGGAATCGTCTTCGATCAGCGGACTCCTTTTCGTTCGGCACGGCAGGTGGTGACGGAGGTGACATGGCGCGCCAAGGCGGAGGGGAAAAGAACTTCGAGGATCACACCCTGGGCGAACCGCTTTAACAGCCTAAATTGGGCCGACCAGCATCAAATTCGTGCATCCACATGAAACAAACGCGTAGAAAGCAGTAGTGAAAGCAGTCATGAAGACAAAAATTGCAAACAACTGGTTGATGTGATCTTCAACTACAACCATGTCATAGATTGCAAACAAGTGGTTGATGTGATCTTCAGCTAAAACCATGTGTCAAATTGTGTAAAGGATCGTTACGTTGGACGCACTGGTTGGATTCTTCAAAAAATGTTGAATTGGCCCTCGTGGCCAACTGCTGTGCACCCCTCCGCTATGCCTAGTGGAGGCGCAAAGAAGATCGAGTGCCCAGTCAGTCGGCACAAGGGAGAGGTGATCAAAGGTGATCGAGCAAAATGTGAAAGGCTGCTCTCAGCGACCGCATCTGATGGAGTTCGGATGAAGTCATGCCACTTTGGCCGATTCATGCAGATTCATGGCGTTGTTACAGTTACAGCCTCCTCTCAAAGCCAAATAACTCTCCTAAACACGGACGAGAGTTCCTTTCATAACACCACCGACTCACATGGGAACCTGCATCTGCAAGTTCTAATATATATATATATACATATGTATAATATATACAGTGCGTATATATATGTGTGTAAACAATAAAAGTATGCGTTTTATCTATCTATCAAAGCATCTAATCTATCTATTCTATTCTATTATGTTCTATCTATTCTAATCTAATCCAATCTAATCTAATCCAATCTAATCTATCTATCTATGCAGTAGCCAGTCCAGCCTAAACAGGTAAGCGCATCAGCACAAGAATGATGTAAAAATCAGGTGATCCGAACCTCGCTCTGGGCAGCGGCACATGTTGTGTTGCACTTTTTGAGGGGGACCCCCAACGAGCTTGGGACATGGAAGTTTTAGATGGTTTTCGTCCACGGCGGCTCTTCTCAGAACACTTTGGTAAATTCAGCAAACATGGGCTGCCCCAAGGAAGAGTGAAAGGCACTGTTTGCTACTTCAGGAGTCCCCACTCTCTCCCCCTCTCTCTCTCTCTCTTAAATCAGCTATGGTCTTGCGGCGCTCCTCAGAATCTACATCAACCGTCAGACCCGGTCACAGGGTCAGCTGAGAACATCCAAGCGTGGCCGCGACAGGAGCAACGTGTCTTCGTTCGCGCCGGCCATGGCGTCCATTACTATCTGCCCATTTGGGTTGAAAAAACATCCGTTTATTAGTCAAGCGTCTACATGTGCCCCTCTCTCTCTCTCGCCCCCCTATCCTCCTGCAGTGCAATAATAAGGATCCCTTTGACAGGACTTGCGGATATTGGATTGCGGCACGACGGGCACGAAGGGCCCGTCGCACGATATCACACCGGGTGTGCCGATCCGTGAAGCCCGTGAGTCACCCGCGAGCTCCCCACACGGCGGGGTGTGTATCAAAACAATCCAAATACGGGAGGCACCTTCCAAAGAACCCCTGGAGGAAGAGAAATAGAGCAAAACCCAGTGCTTCCCTCTGGAAGGGTAGCGGTGAGACAGGCTCCACCAAGTGAGGGTGGTGATTGTTACTTCAATCCGTTTTGGATGGACGTGACAAACGCTTGACGAAACGCTTGACGAACGGACTAACTTATTAATTAATCAACTAATTAACCAACTAACAAAAGAACTAACGTTACACTTAAAGGTTCGTTGGGAAATACACTAACTAGCTCAGGCTCACCAAAAGGGTTCTGAAGACCATTCCCCGCTTCCGGGCATGACCCCGCCCACCGTTCGGTTCATCGCGTTGCTCCGCCGCTGGACTCGTCATCTGGACGTGGAAAAGCCGGGAAGTGCGCTGAACACCGGTAGCCCAACGCTGCAGGCTCCGGAGCGTTGGACGGCAAACAGCCAGGAGAAGGGACCTTGACAGGTTCAAAAGGGCAGATCCAGTAGCTGCCATCTCAAGACTCAAAAAGAAAAAGAAAGATAAGAAAGGGCACCCAACTTACCAACCAGATAGACAAAAGCAGTTTTCATGGCTCATCCCTGCACACATGCTCAAAAGCCCCCGTTTTTGCACCCATCGACGGTCATGAGGCCACCACTCGACTGCCCCTCACAAGAAGCCGTCGCCGTAAATGCCATACCTCAGCATCGACCGATGATGGCGATGAGATCACAGGGTTCATGGAGACTCCCCACACCACCTGCAGGTGCCCATCAAAGGCATCCGTCTGCCCTTGCGCGGAACAATCCTTTCACCGGAAGCCTACAGCTGTTCTGCAAGGTTCTCCAGCAGCTTTTGCGTAGAAAACTTCCCCTTCCCTTGATGCTGAAGAAAAAGAAGGGATGTGCGCACATCAATCACCACTCCTCCTCCCTGCTCACAGTGGTGCAGGGCACAGGGACTCGGACCAACGTCCAAGCTCTCAACCCCAAACCAACCATCAAACTGGAATAGCAGTGAATCAACAAACCATCAAACATGTAAATCCATCAGGCCCAAACCATCAACAAAATGTGACTGGATGGATGGTAGCTCTTCCAGGATCCGCATGGCTGGCTTTTGGGAAGTCATGCATCTTCCCAATGGCAGGTCCACACCTCCGCACTGACCTGGGCGCAAGATGAGAGAAGCCGAAACCAATGAATTGGTGCAAGTGAAAACCTGCGGGAAGCCATAGTGCTCAACCCCGGACCCCCCAAAAAACCATTGGTTTCCGGTAGGTGTTCTCCTCAAAACCAAGTCCGGGAACCTGTTCACTCGCTAGAGACTGATCTAAGTGCTCGGTCCTCAAGAACATGGCTCCTCTCTCTGACCTTGTCTTGGGAAGAACAAGCTGGGCGACATGGTTTCAAGAAGAACTAATGCCCACTTGAGAATCTATAGTTTTTGTCTACCATTTCCCTGTGAAGCCCGCAAATTCACTCCAGAATGTGAACTTGAGGTTGTTGTACTTACAATATACTTGCGATTCCAGGTATGTATCTATACGTATAATAATGGTCACTATTACACTATATGTTCAACATACTTTAACACCTCTGCTCACTGCTCGGGAGCCTAAAGTCCTAGTGTGTCTCCAAAAACCAGCAACAAACTAATGGAACATTGCCTCATTTGTGGAGTTCTATGATGTACTCGAGCTAAAGAGAAGGCCAATCACATAGGAATGGGCCCCAAATCAGGACGTCTCCCACCGCGCACTCCTTGAGACACCCTCGGACCCTCATACCACCGGGCCATTGGACGATGTTGGATGGCCGAAACCCTCAGCAATACAGAACAGCCCACAAGGTGTTGGGTTCCGAAGGGAGTCCTTGAGGACCTGACGAACGTTGCAGTTGCAGCCGCATGTTCGACAATTCTGATCAATTCTGCTGTCTGGCAGCTTGCACTCCTTTCAAACACAGCAGCGGTGAAACACATCTCTGTGGAAAACAGAAGGGCCGCATCATCTTCCTGGCCCCACTGATCTTGGTGCCTGGGAAAATGGCTATGTTGATCACTGTCACTTCCTTCCCACAGGCGTGAGGGCTGAAATGTCCGACGAGGAGGGCACCAAGATCTACATCGAATCTAAAACCATTAAAGTCCCGATCCCTTCAGGAATTGAGGGGTACAGCTCAGGAAAAAGGTGTTCAAGGTGCATTCGGATGTGCTCATCACAGCGGGTCAGGATCTGGGATGATCTACCCGTTCGAGCCACGCGAGCATGGCTCGCTCGCCACGTGGCTCGCTCACGCGTGGCTTCAGCCGTAGTAAACGATCTTCACGGGGCAGTGCACCTGCGGCGGCCAAAACAGAGTCCAACCTTTAACCACAACTTCCCGACTTGGAGAGTCACAGGGAAATGCCCTCTTGTAGTGATGTAGACTAAGGATTGAAGACCCCCCTTCATGAAAATGGTTTTACAATCTAAATACATATGGGAGTTTTATTTTGGTCAATAGTCTATGATAGTCACTGGTGTTGAGGAACACAGGCGATCACCCCTGTCCCAGGTCCATTTCACCACCGGGTAGAAAATCAACCGCAAGGTCTGCGACATTCGCACGGTCTTGGACATTGGCCCCCACCTGAGTGGTCCCACTCAAACACATCCAGGATTTTTTCAGTTAAGTTCTTGTTCTGGACAGGACACCCCCGACCCTGTAGCGATCAACACCGCGAACAAAAGGGACCCCGAGAGGTGTAGATCCACTTGATGGGCGGCCATCGCCATCAAGTAGAATCGCGCCTTGCTCCCCACCGCCGAGAGGTGCTTCGGTCAGCACCGGACCGGACGGCCCCACGTCCGGTCCAAGCTGCCAACATCTAAGAATCGAACTCCCCTAAAACCTTCTTCAAATCAATCAATCATAATCTATCTATCTTGCAAACCACTACCTTGGCGAAACTGTCCAACTTGAGGGCTTTCCCCCACTTTCTGCCACTCACCGCAGTACATCGGCGACTCCTTTTGCACCGGTGCCTTCAATCCGCCGCCGGAGCCGCTGCAGAAGTAGCCGTGACTGTAGCACTCACCCTCCACGCTGGCACGGACCTCTGTGGGACTGCGGCCATAGCGTTCCTTGGAGAATGCGGTTCAGCCAATTCAAGTAGATCCCACAAACAAAATGTCTGAGGGGGCATATATATATATATAATCACTACTATTGCTTTTATTTCTATTATTATTCAATAATGTGTATATACAAACATTCTATACAGCGATAATGAGCAAAAACGTACCGGTAAAGCAATCACCTGATCAGCTGGCCAGGGCTCCATATACCCAGTCTGGCAGGCGTTCGACCTCACACGCGGAAAAAGCACATCTGCAAAGGTTGGGCAAGCGAACATAAGATTTATATAACAAACTGAATCCAAGTGGTTGCCTCTGTTCATCGGCGATAAACCAGCGAGCCTCCCCCCTCTGTATGGATCCTGTAAAGTTTTCGAGGAAGGTTCTGTAAGGGCAAGGAAATGTATCAAAACAGCCCACAGCTCGGAGCGAGCTCGCTTCTTTCAGACCAATGCAGCTTGATGGGATCACCTTATATACATATGTGTGTAGCACCTATAACCACAAGCTGACGCTTGCACAACATAAATGATGATGTCAGCGCTGCAAAGTAAAATCAAAAGCATCATCTGCATTATTTATTGCATGTCCGTTTTGGTTTGTGGGAAGGCACCAGTTTCTTTACTGATTTGCAACCATCACCACCTGATATTGATGGTATCATGATGTATCATCACCTTGCCTTCCCCCACTATCCGGCCGTCCACCGGATAGCTCGCGGCGGACGGCCGGGATCGTGCCCACCCCTTGGATCTGAGACACATGCTGAGGCCCGCTGCGGCAGTCATGCCACTGGGCCGAGACCCGCCGAAGAGCCGCTGGGCGCCGAAACAGCCGGGGATTCGGGACTTCTTGACGAGGTAAGAGATGATGGGCAGGAGCTCAGTCTGGATGTTCTCCTTGGAGCATCAGAATCTATCCAACCCGGCTATGCTGAGCTTGGGAATATGAGATCTTGGGTCAAGATTCAGTCGGTTACGTCCCACTTCCGCTAGTTGTGCTTACCTCTTCTCCCACAAAGCGACCCCATGTCGTCGTTCTTCCGGGGTTAGGCTGGATAACATACGCAGCACCACCTCCAGTGACAAAAACGGACACTCAACGTTTGCCCACATTCCCTGGTAGGTACCACATGGGGTTAGACAGCTAGAGTCTCCGAGAAAAAAGACGTTTGTGCACTTCCTCGTTTTCCGCCAGGCCTCTTTCCCCGCTCTCAACATGGCATCTTTCGCCCCAGCGCAGCTGCCCGACCAGGTCTGGATCGAGCTTTCTGTCCACGTTTCCCAGTACACCGGCTGTCTCCCTTCTCTCCCGTCCTCACCGAAGAACCTGGGCAAAGCACTGAGCGAGGAGATGCGAGGAGTGCTTTCTGAACATCGAGGCTGAACAGGTGCCACACCAATTTTTCGGTAGGACATCACGAGAGATTAAAGGAATCAACCTACAAATTTGGGGCGCTGCAACCAACCTCCAAGAAACCTTAAAACATTAATCATCCTGAAACACAAATGCCAGCATGTATATATATATATATATACCTTGTGCCTCCAAACACAACAAAAACGTAGGGTTCATCCCAAAACACGAGGTTCTTAGAGGAAACACGAGGTTTCCCATTTTGGTGTTTTTTCCGCCCATGCCATCTTCGAAGGCCGGGCCACAGAAACTTGAATTCAAACTCCAAAAGCCCAGGTTGATGATCAGAACGGAAAAAAAAACTCAACCAAAAATGCAACTATTGTACCCCCCTAAAACCCGTGAAAAAAGCACGGGTTGTCACGGTATAATCACGGGTTTGTCACGGGTTTGGGAAACACAATGTTTTTTCTGAAAACCCGAGGTTTTTCATCCAAAATCACGGGTTGACACGGGATAATCACGGGTTTGTCACGGGTTATCGGAGCTCTAAATCACGGACCCAAACTTTTCCTGACAAGAGTGTTGAATGTTTGTAACATACTGTGAAACATGTTTTGACCACGGAAAATTTGATAAGTCGGCGGGAGAAAATGAACATGGAGCACCTGCACATGGCTATCGAGGGTTTTGGGGCAAAACACGAGGATTTGGTTAAAACCCGAGGTTTTCCCTTATGTCACGGCTAAACCCGAGGTTTGTTTTCAAACCCGACAAATTTGTAGGGTTCAGATGCTCAGGGTATATGATATGTTCTTCATTGGTTCTTCCTCTGATCAGGCTGTCACCTCTAAGCTGAAGGAGTCGAAGGCCCTCTTCCGACCCACAGGTCTCCTCCAGCCAGGCCTCCTCCGCGGCGAGGCGTCGAGGACGTGAAAGCGGATGGCGGGGGCGGTCGCGCGAAGCTCGGAGTCATTCGAGCGAATGCGGTGAATTCGGATGATGGAATTTGTACCGGGTAGATCGTACCAGTTGCCAGGTTATTGTAATAGGTTTGTTTTGTGCCAGGTTGCCGGCTTGGCTTGGTTATATATAGTACTACTGTAGGTTCTCGGCTTGGCTTCGATATTGTACTAGGTTACCGGCTTGGCCCGGTAATTGTCAACGATTTCAATGTCGCATGGGAAGCTCTGGGTACTATCCGTTACTACATGTTACTATCCTCGTTTATTCATTTGTTTCTGAGTGGACCTACTTGGCACATGACCATGACACCTGGCTTGCTGCCTCCATGATCAAACAAGGCAATGACACAAATTTGGCCCTTATGCCTCCTGCCACCAACCTAATGCCATGATTGAGAAAGGCACCAAACAACCACAGAAAATCCCATGCAACTTGTAGACTATGGTATCTCCACCCAGGCCATTCTTGGGTTTGTTGCCCACCCCAGCACTTTGACTCCGGAATCAATTTCCTTGGAGCATGAAAAAAAGACCTCGCTGATGGCAGTTCTCTGTCCTCTTCACTGCAGGCGGCCGCGAAGAACAGCGCCCAACCCAGCCGCAGGATCATGTGCCCAGCCCAATGGCGCAGCGTGAGGACGCCCGGTGGAACAAATGACTGGACTTGACTAGTACATCGCACTATACATATACAGAGTGGTTGGATCCACATGGACTGTAACGGGGGTAGCCCGACCTTTGAGAATGGAGAGCGGAATGATTCTTCCATTGCATTTTCCCAATGCATTCAACAAATCAACGGTGTTCACTTCTTGAAAGCTAATGATTGGCAACACACTCCCGAATAACAAGCAAAACGAACCCGACCTTTCTACAAATATCTACAAATGACAAAGAACAAGGAATGTGCCGTCCAATCACTGACTCCGTCAGTTTCCCTGAAACAGAATAAAGTGAACCGAACTTGTTCATTTTGAAAGGGAAAACCTATCTCCCAATAAGTTTTTTGGGGTCCCATACTGGGTCTGATTATCTGCGGCCCACCCTCACTCCACTGGGAGATGCAATCTGTGACACTGTCTGTGGCCTCTAGCGCCGGACTTGACATCTGGCACCGGCAGCTCTGGTCCAGCAACAGGAGCGACACAAATATATGAAAGTGCAAGCAGGTGGTCATTCAGGGTATTTCAGGGTTTCTCTCATTCCTATGCATTCCTCACATCAATACTTGCATACCTCAACACATCATCGTGAAAAGACTGATTTCAGGCAGGACAAGGTCCCGTGTTGCTTGACGGCTTCTCTTGATGCCACATGATCTGAGACCCTGTTTCGTTGCAGCTCTTTCCTTGAACATCTCGATCATGGGACGATATGGGTGGGTTTTCAAATCAACAGTCCAATCAATCAGTCTGTGTCTACCCACTGAGGCACCTCCCGGCACCCTCTGAGCCACCCGGCACCCTCTGAGCACGCATGCTGCCGCCGGAGCGTCCGTAGGCTTCGGATCAGCGGAGGCAGCGGCAGCGGACGGAGCGGTCCGAATGTGCCGAGGGGTGCGGGGGGGTTGGAAGACCTGTCTCGACTTCCGGAACCAAAATGCCAAGTTGCCGACCTGGAATACAAGCCGAGCCAGAAAAAGGGGAACGACGAATGAACGAAGAAACAAACAAACAAACAAACAAACAAACAAAAACACACACGCACAAGATCAAACGTGACGACTAAACAATTCAAGAACGAATATCAACGAATGAACGAATGAACAAAGACACATCTGGGACTCTCCTGGCACGGACTTCTGGGGCTGCGCCCTGCTTCAAATCCTCTGTTGCTCCAAGCTCCTTGTCTTCCGAGCTGCTCGTCACCGAGCATATCCACAGGGGTCAGCTCACCGCTGGCCAGCCTAACGTGGGCATAGGAGCCGGAACTACTGTGACCTCCCCGCCACCAAAGAAAACCAGTTTACCCCCATGTCACTGCTCTAGACCTGAGACTCTAGACCCTAGACTCTAGACTCTTGACTCTAGGCCTGAGACAGTCTCTTTGGATGTTCCCAGTTGGGTTCTGGTCGTTCGCTCAGTCTCACTTTCACCGTCTGCATGTTCAGCGAGAAAGGGGTCTCGCATCGGATGAACCCCAAAACTGCCCCGCAAACGAGCCGGACATTTGGCATCTTCTTGACCTCCTGCCCAACATTCTCACTCGGCAGTGCAGCGGCTGAACAAAGGAAAACCAGTTCCGGCACACCGTTTCGGCCGACCAGGACAAAAGACTGTCCCCCAATTCAGTTTTGTCCCCGTTGTGTGCGGGTTTGGTTGTTTGGTGCCTCACTTGGCCGTTGCCCACCATGGCATCGATGCCCTCCTCCAGGCGTGGGTGCGCACCCCGCAACTGCTCACGAAGGGAGATCGTGCGCTCCAGCAGCTGTTGAAAGTGATCCAGGTCCTCACGCACCACCCAGTCTCCCCATGGACCCATTGAAGACGTAGAGACGTGCAGTATGACGAAGTTGTCTCAACGAAACTAGACTTCGGGGCCGTGGCCAGACTTCTGATTCTGGGTGTGATCAATGGTGGAGCCACACCCAATATGACCAAGTGCCAAGATCTTGCTGCATACATTTTGGCTCAGAAGCTCTTTGAAACCCAGTGGGCCCACGCTCCAGTTTATATATTATACAACCAGTGCTATAGTAGCGCACCAGTTTAGCCTGTTCTTTGGACTTGCTGGGGAGGTGTCACAGCTGACTCCCTCAATCTAACTCGAAAATCAAGCTAAATGTTCCGACAGTAAAAAGTATTGACCGCAACTCAAGGCGCCCACAAATTACACACCACAATCATCAAGCGAAGACGTCCAAGTTTTAAGGGAACGAACAATCCCCTCCATCAGAAGAGCAGCGAAACCCATTATATAATGCATTCATAAGTCTTATTTAAGTGACTGATGAAATGTCTGGCACCAAAGATAGCTCCACGACGAGGGAGCGCACACTCACAAGAATGACTCCCATCCTTGCCCGTCCACCTCTTCATGCCTGGTGGGAAACCAATCCCCTCAAGAAGGTTATCCACTTTTCCGGGTTATGTCTGTGTTTAGCTAGCCCTTTAGGGGGAGTTGCCTCCCGCGTCCACATTCCCTTCACGTCCTCCTGGCTGGACATGGTGCCTCATTTGGCGACAAAGGAAGTTGGATCAAAGCAAGTGCAGCAAGGGCCCCGTTTGGGGTGTCTAATGTCAGCCTTCTCGCCATGTGACTGATTCACAAACAAGGGCCAGCCCGGGGTGTCGATGAGCCCTGAAAATGTGAGGTGACAAGGAGTGCCGTGGAGTGCTGGTTGGGCTACCCCGGACCCACACTCGGACCGCTCACCTGGCGAAGCACTGGTTCCAATCTGCGAAGCACTGACGAGTGCAGTGTTGGAGTAGTGGCCCGACCGTGCGCACTTTCTTCTTCAACTGGAACAGTGCAATTCACATCTCCTCAACCTCCGCCCGCTTGCCTCTTTGCCGCCCGCCGCCGCCCGCGGGACCTTCCCCAGGAATCTGATATGATGTCTTCACGGCCCCACATGATCCACTCACCCCACTTTTCAAGGTTTGAACGCTACTAGGGGCTCCTGGCATCGCTACTAACAAGGGTGCTACTAAGAGCTCCTGGCCTTAAAGCTATTATCTGTTTCTCTTTTTTGGGGGTTGAAGACATCAAACATACTTGGCATCGTGCACGATCAGGTCCGATGAGTTGGGCGGCGATTCTTCAACTTGACAAAACCTACAGCTTTACTACACAGGCTGTTGATGGAACACAGGCGGCTTCAAAAAAAAGCCGGTGGTTTCAGTTTATATACTTGACAAATATTAGTCAGGGGTTCAGTTATCCCAAATATAAACATACCCGAAACCACCGCCTATAGCCATGAATTCACATGTTCCCAGCGGCGCGCCAGGCTTCCTCTTTCGATCTGCGCTTCGACTCGATCGATGGCGCTGCTCAACTTGGGCCCGCGCCGATCTGCAACTTGCGGAGCTCATAGAGGTGCTTCCCCAAGTAGATCCGCTTGGCCTGGTGAATCCGTGGCGTTCGAGCGAAGGAAGCGGAAGCAGCCCACGCCGGGTGAGGAGAAGCACCGATAGTGACGCTCGGTGCTTGTGCGTTCGGCCGGTAGAGTGGGTAGCGGCAAAATATTGGAGGATCCTTTGAATGTGGTCTTTTGCAAGTTGAACCTATGAAAGTTTCAGCTGCAGGATTAGCCAAGTATTGTGCAAAGACAAAGCAATGACCGACAAGTTTTGAAGTTGATTTTCCTCCTGCCAAACGCGGGTGATGTGGCGTGGGTGAAGATCAACATTCCCCCTACAGTAAAACACCCAACGCCAATTTATGGTCTCCTCATGTCCAGGTTTCCTTGGGTGGATGCTTTTTGTAACTCTCTGTCATGTTCATGTGAAACTGTGGAATGAATTGTTGGGCATACAATTGCATAAATAAACCAAGATAGATATAGAATGATATAGATCTACAAATACACTTTTAGACAAATAGACAAACAATTGAACTATACTATATATCAATTATATATATATACAAAATAGATCTCCTAGATCGCCCATGACGCTTCAACCGATGCGCAGCCGCATCGCAACCCGCACCGGGCTCTTGCTCCGTTGTGGTCCTCACCTTGTGGTTCTTCACGATCCGAGGCCAGTGTGCATTCAGCTCCTGTGCGAGCACGGTGAATGGAAGACTTTCCAGGTGTAACTTGGCAACAGTTCAAACCAAAAAGGACCAAACTTAGGGTCCAAAATGCTCCAAATGCAGCCTCTCAGCAACCCCCTGCAGTCTTCTTTAAATCCATGATCAACAACCGCTTGAGAAGTGTGGTGGATGGAAAGTGGCGCATGGGAACCAAAAGGGGGGCTTGATCTGTCAGTCCATGTCATACTGACCTGGTAGAGTAGAGGACCTGACCCCCGAGCCAAAGATCACGGAACTTTCCACCTTTTCGACCACCCCACTGCAGGTGATCCACGGGGCCGGTCTTCCAAAGGACCAGTCGATCTTGGGGAGCGACACTCTCTCCACCGCCAAGCCAAGTGGGGGATCGACCCCTGTTCAGGCCCCATGTTCCAAATCTGGGTCTTGAAGCAAACAGCAACTCGCTGCCAGGCCCCATTGGCCGCTCACCCGAGTGCTGCCAGGCTTCGGCCAGGATCGATGCCACCTCTCCACCGAACTGCGAGGCCGTGATGCTGTGCTCATCCACGCTGCCCAACAGCACGGCCGCCTCTCCACAGGGTCCAAACAAGCGCAGGGCTCCGTGCTGCGAAAAGTGCCCAGTTGAAACGAGGAAGATTACAGGATGGGGGCCTCACTCCTGCGCGAATGCAAGCAGTCCAAAGCCTTCAGGGTCTCTGGATCTTTGATGCCGAAGCCGGACAGGAACAAGGCAAACTTCACCTGATAGACGACCAAATCCAAATGGTGGGCCACATTTCAGAACACAAATTGTCGCTCAAAGTAAGAATATGTTGCCAGTTGCACAAAAACACGCTGGCAAATCCATGCAAGCCCTTAGGAAGCCCGATTACGAAGACTGGAGACCGTCTTGGCGCAAGTTTCAGGTCAAGACAAACCAATGACTCATACCAATTCCAAATTACTGGTCGCATAAAAATCCTTTCAATACAACCAGTACTCAGTACTGCTCACAGACATTGCCCAGTGCACCTACTTCTCCCAAATTTACCCACCTCCAGCTACATTCCACTGGATCATCATCCCCTCACAACCAAGATCCACCAAGCCACGCTCTCCAGCAGCTCTTCGTCACTCTTGGCCGCGACCACCTCTGCAGCCCTCAGCAGCGAGAGCACCGCGCGGTGCTCTGCCAGCTCCGGCGGCGGCACGGCCGCCGAGCCGCCGTCGTGCTCGAGGTCCTGCACGGATGGTGTCACCGGGAGCCCTGGAGGAGCCAAGTGGCGATATGGTGTGAGGTGGCGATGGCGGAGAAAAGCCGAGAAATTGTGATTGTTCCTTTTGGCCAATCTTGGAAGATCCAAGCCATGCATTGCATTCTTATGCATGTCCAGTGAGAGGAGGGAGGAGTGGGATTTCAATCCTCTTCTAAGTGCCCTGTCACAGATTTTCAGGATTTCTGACACGATGCGTAGATTAATAAGAATTGATTATGTTTTTTTTGTTTCTCTGTTCGTTTGGTGCTACCTATGGGACTCCACTCGCTCCTCGAGCAGTGCCCAGCCCATCTCTTGCACAGCGAACCTGGGAAAACAGCGCTCACGGCAAAGCGCCCGGGAGGCCTTCCCTCAGGGGGGAGTAGGTTCCAGCGCTGATGGAACGGACCCCGACAGTATTTTTGGAGATCTCCCGACATCATGAGCTTCTCAAAATGAGTGTGATTCAAGCAGTAATAGGTAGGACATGGACTCGCTTCTTGCCAATAAAAAAAGAGTCAAGCAAGATTTTTGCTGAATGCTGCGTTTGACGTCAAGCTTGCCCAGGAGCTCTTGCCAGTCTCCCAGCTGGTAGCCCTTCGGCAAGGACACCTCCGAGTGAAAGCGCTGCTCCAATGCGGTGTGCGTACCCCTGCGAGGTCACTGGCGCTTGGAACCGCCGATACGCGCGGTTTGGGAGGCACATCATCGTGGGGAAAACGTGAATTTCATGAGCGAGCAAGCTGGCACCCTTCAATTTCATTCAATTTCAATCCTTTTGGGAACTGTTGGACACCTTCGTCTGCCCTACACGATACAGTAGGAGGATATAGTGCAGTAAGCTGCTGACAGCTGGAATGTGATTCCAACATATTATTCAAAATCGTTTTCGGGTCTTCAACGTATCCCCCAGATTCCGGCTAAAATGGAACCAGGGTAAGCGTGAAGACATCCGGTGACCGTTCACTTCCTGCAGCCTGGTATACCCTGGTCTTGGGTCACGTGGTCACGTGACAATATCATCACCACGGAGATTTTAACTTCAGTCCGCCCGAGGTCGCAATCACTCACGCCAGACTGACCCCCTTCCAAGTCGAAACTGGTGCTGGACTGGGCATGTCGTCGAAACAAGATTTGCCGTCTTGGCGCAAACAACAATGGTGCATCTGCTCTACGCAAACGACAGGATACAACATGATTGGCGAATATATGCAACATTATGACATACAACGAGTTCTTTAATCAAGCTTCAACGTCTGCTTCTAATGATGTTAGATCCAAATTAGGAACAATAGGACGGAATAATACAACACCCTGAATGGTTTAGTGGCCTAGGAAATAGTAAAATTCAAGTTCTTTCATCCGGGGTGTTTTTATTTGTTTGATTACTTTTCTATTCTGCTAGTGCGACCCCTTTAACATCCTTACTTAACTCTCCTGAGGTATGCTTGATTCATCGAATTCTGACCTGGAAATCGGTTTCAAAAACGCGTATTAAAACTCGATTTCAATGCTCCAAACAATTTTTTCAAGGGGGTAATACACCAGCCCAGGGGAAGTGAATCATATCAATTGTTTGGGGGTGGGATGAATATGCAAACTTGGAGCCCTAAGGGAAACAACAACTGACTTGATTATTGTTCTGTTATTGCCGTCCTTTCCAATCCTTACTTGACTCTTCTACTACACTACGACTGCTAGGACTAGTACTACATAGTGCTACTACTGCTACTACTGCAAGCACTACTACTACTACTGCTACTACTGCAAGCACTACTACTATCTACTACTACTACTACTCCTCCTACTACTCCTACTACTACTACTACTTCTACTACTACTACTTCTACTTCTACTACTACCAGCACCACCACTACTACTGCCACGACGACAACGAAGACAACGACTACTACTACAGCTATTTCAACTACCACTACGACTACGACTACTGCTACGAATGCTGCCAATGGTTTTTGTGGCGGGGATTCTATTCATACTCCCTCAATTGTTTGCTAGGGGGGGTTGCTGTTGGTATTTTTCATGACCATAATGTTGAAACAGGCGCCACAATCCTCTTGGGAACTGATGGTTCGGGTGGTCCTTTCAGTGATGACCCCCGTCTTCGGAAATCTGCATGGGCTGTGGTTGCTCTTCGCATTGATGGCGATGAGTTTGTTGTGATTGGTACCATGTCTGGTGCTTTACTTGATAGTGATGTGATGAAGCTTGCAATACTGTCCCTCGAGCTGAACTTATGGCTCTGGTGAGGGCATTGGAAGCCTTGTCTTGGCATGATGGGCCTGTCCAAGTTGCCTTTGATGCGTCTTATGTGCAAACTACTTGGAAAAAGGTCTCACACAATAAGCATGTTGGTAACCCCAATGGAGATCCGAAAATGAGACTTAGAAGGTTGGATCGTCGCTCTGTGGAGCTGTGCAAGGTTAAATCACACATGAGTCTCCAAGATCACATTGACTTGGGTCGTCCGGCTTGGTCCTGGCATGCTAATGCTGCTGCTGATTCCCTTGCTGGGGAAGCAGCCGTGGCCTTTGCCCCATATAAATAAGATAAGGCTAACTCCTTCATTTTAGGACGAGCTTGGCGCTTAAACAAGTGGTTGTTGCCTCGTGTGCAATTTTGGTTGCGTCAGCAAAGTACCTGTAAACTTCCGAAGAAAATTAGGTCTAGTGCACCAAGGATGCTTTCCTGTTGTCTCTAAGGCCATGAGTGGGAATCCTCAGTCAAGGGTTTGTGCTGTTTGCGTTATGGTACTAAGTTGCCCAAATACAAAAGTTTGAGTGATCTTGAGGTTCTGGTGCAAATCCCATGTGATGGGATGAGTGGTGTCCGCGGGGTGCATTATACTCATATCATGTATGGTGGCACGCGGAAAACCTGCAATGTCTGTAAGGGAGTTTGTTTTGCAGGGTGGCAGATCAGCAAGAAATTGCGGCAACCATGTGGAACCTCCGGAGGAGTCTTGTACAAACGGAGATAGTTTGGGCTGGTAGTATGCTTGGAAAAAAACTAGGGGGGGGTTGCCAATTAAGATCCAACGTTATGTCGAAATCGACCCATCTTTCAACTCCGCACCCCGCGAAGCGTGAGCCTGAGAGCATCGACCATCTCACAGGCCCAGGCGACGTAGCGCTCCGTCTTCCCCTTGGACCAACCTGCGAGCGCTACCGTAGCGCTCCGTCAGAGTCGAGCCAAGCACTGGGAAAAAAAACAACATGATGAACCTGATAGGCATGACTGGAGGCCCTGATGAGCTGGAGAGCCTCTTGGCAGAGGGATCAGGAGATCGGCCCACCCTGACTGGAGAAGACTTGCTGGTGACCGACCGGGGTCATGGTGTGTGGAGACCTACCGGTTGACCGACCGCTGGACCGGTTGTTGGAAACTTGGTGAACCGGTCGGGCTCCAAGTTTTGACCTATCCCCATTCATGCAGAGGTTGAAGAACCCTAGTCTAATGGATCCTATAGTTATAGGTACCCCAGGGTCCTAATATTGCGGTCACTTAACCTCTGTGGGGAATTCAGGTCTCCTTCCAGTCCAACCGGCAGGTCGGAGAAGGGCAGCGCCTGGGATGCCATGGTGCATGATGTCCCAGACGTTGTGGAGCTTATCCGCGATCCTTGGACAACTGCGGATTTGTGACCGGGAGGACCCAAAAAGAGTGTAACACATGAATCTGAATATGCCCCACGTCTATCCCCCCTGTGTGTCACTGGATTCACCCAGAAATAAACTTTACACTAAACATCATCCCTAACCCAAACACGTGCGCTCCATGTCTGACCCCCCCCAAAATGTAGGCAAATATGGCAGTCTCATGGGGTGCCAGGGTAAGTGAAAGCCAAGGAACCGGACCAACTTCGCCTTCAGCGGTAACGACTTCACCCGACCTCGGAGCAAATCCTCTGGTCGCGTGCGTGGCCGCGCACGTGGGGGCGAACGGTTCCATCGTGAACGTGAACGTCGGTTGGAAAAGGAGGGCTGCTCACCTGAAGTCCAGTGCTGCCATCTGTGACAGGTTGATCTGTCTTCAGGGAGTACATTTGTTCAGCTTGCATACTTTACATGTATAAAACATGTATCTAATCTGAGTCTCTGAAGGCAAATCACCCCCTCGAGCCTCCCTGGAAAAGAAAGGTGAACAAACTGTCCACCGGTTTTTTTGTTGAGTGGGGGTGTCCCTAATCTTTCGAGAAAGAATGGTGTTGCAGGTGATCCATGGCACCGATCTTGGGTTTCTATCAACCCAAATCGACTCGGCCCGGAGTGGATCTTGGCCCGGAGTGAAAATCAAGGATGATCAAAAGAAACATCGGAACCAAGAAGTCGCAAAGGGGTGGCGTTTCTGGTCGCAGTCCTATCCAGTGATCTGACAGGGGCACCCTTGGATAAGACTCCTTTGGGACTGCTGGAGCCGCTTCATTCCTCTTCAGCAACCTCAGATCGCCAGATCTGTGCGTGGTGGAACTGACATGTCGGAAGCCGCTTCCCTTCCCTTCCCAGGGGCGGAGCTGCCGGAACTTCTGATGCAAGGGCCGAAGGCCTGGATCCGGTTTCTGTGTAAGGCATGCAAGGCACGATCTTAGCCAATCATTTCCTTCCAAATTCTGCCCAAGAAGAGGTTCTCCATATATCTCCATATAAATAAGTCTTCCAGTTCCATCGAGTGTCTGGGACATTGGGCTCACATGGGCACTACATAGCACTACCATGCACTACCCATACCCGCTGATGAGGGCCAGTGGCGAGCAAGGGGTGAGGGAATTTGTTGGGTTTGTTGCGTGAGAACAAAAGAGTAACTTCTGGCAGGTGAGACTCTATGACTCAATCTCGCAGTCCCTCTCGCCGTTGTTATTGTTTCAAGGGCTTTTGGAGTATTGTCACAGGCGACCGCCTTTGACTAACAAAAGAGCAAAAAGAGGGCTTTGGGAGTTCGTCGTGTTTCTGGTTGTCTCTTTTTTTAATGTATTTTACCCTTCCGGGCCATGCTCTCGACATCTATGGTCTGTCCGACAGCTGATCCCCATGCTCCCGTCTCACCGTGCCTTCAGTCGCGCGCGCGCGCGTGCGCGGGGGGTTTTTGGCGCGCAGAGGGGACCGCACGGCCAATGGGTCGACGGGATTCGACTGGTCGATTTCCCGAACATTTCCAGGGGGGGTCAAGCTGGGAGGTCTCCCAATCTTAATTCATGCACGGCGCGATATCTTCAGGTGCAGCATGCTGATACACCGGAAGAGACCAAACACCCCCCGGACGAAGCACAATGTCTACTGAAGGCATGCCATGGAGTATTTGAGAAATGTAACCTGCCGGCCCCTTGCATTCGCTGGTGGCAAAATGTGTTTTAAATTTGCTGTCTACATAATGACGTACATGTTGGCTTGCATCTATACCATGACTAGCTAGGTACCGGGGGGGGTTACAATTGTTGAATGTGACTATAATTATAGTAATGCGAGTGGATATTAACCCAACAATCCGACAGTTGTACAGGCTATCGGGCCCGACCTATGACTCTGATTCAGCTCCCGACCTCGCCTTCCTCGTCGGTGAGGGCATGCACCAAGTTGGCCACCTTGGTGCCGTGGCCGGGCAGCCCGCGGTGGACGCTCGGGCCGCCCGCTGGTGAGGTGGCTCCGGTGGGCAGCCGTTGTCGAACGGAAGAAAAACGGGTTCATTGAATGCTCCACCTGTTCTTGAGCGGAGAAAGCAAGGGGTTCACTGGCAGCATCTGGCAGTTGATCCGACTGGGTGGGATGCGGATCCTTCCAACATCCCCCGAACCGGCGACGACGCGGTTTTCCCCGGGGGGGTTCTTGAGGTTGTGAGCCACATACGATCAACAACGGAGAGCCTGCCGTTGTGGCCGACCGTGGGTGAGGGATCAACCCCTCATGTGCCAGGAGGGACAAGGATCGTATTGCGGACATCAAGGATCGTTTTTCCTGCTACTCTATCATTTCACCAAATCCAAGTGTGATCTTGCCCATTTCGTCCACCTATGTCTACCTCAAACAAACAAGATTGTTACGTTCTTTTTGCATCTGAGATCGATGATCTGTTCGATGATAAGCAGCAACCAACCCACCCCACCTGATCTTGATTCATAACCCCCCATTTGGAGTGTAAACATTCTTCAAACTCTTCACATGGGGGGTTCAGATATAAATTATTACAATAAAAATGGACAAAACATTCTACATTCCCAATGAATCCAAACCATCCCATCGCCTCTGCACCAAAGGCCGCCTCCAGCTCCGCGCGCGTGGCTTCGGTGTCCTGGAAACGTGCGGAAGGCGGTGCAGAGGATGCAAAAGAGTTGGCGGAAGGTCTACCTGGTTACCTGCTTGGGCCTATCCTACTACCAGTAACCGTGGATGATGATAGTTAGCAACAGCCATATCATTCTCTAAAATAGACTGTTAGAGGTGAGGTGATAGGACAAACAAACCCAAGATCATCCAAGATGTATATACCTGTATCTATCTATATATATATAGAGAAGATGAACATTTACCTAAGAAAGGTGGAGCGGCCCTAGTATATGAATATGCATCGCCTGTTTAATACGTACCTCTCTTGGATCTCAGGAGTGGTCGTGTGCCTATGCAAAGGTCATGAGCCTAAGCGGATGCAGTATAAACCAAACAAAACAACATTAACAACATTAACAACACTCACATCGGTTTATACCCCCCCTGTTAGCATAAAGTAGACCGTGCTAACACTCCTTCAAATACATTCCAAAAAAAAAGAACTGACATGGACCCGGGTTGAATGGCACCCTGAAAGACTGCTTCCTCCACAAAATGCAAAGGTGTCGGGGACCCTTTTGGGTCCCACAAGGTCTCTCAACCTCTGTGTCGTATCTGGTGCTGAGTCGGGAGCGATGTCATCATTGAATGTTTGGAACCGCTGGTGAGATGTGCTAATTCAGCACCAGTCCTAGCATGTCCTAACTAGTTGTACTAGTTAGGCACGTGGAGATGGATTATGGAAACGGTGGAGGGGATGCTGTTCCACGCAAAAAAAAAAACCGTCTTCACTCAGATGATCTACAGCTCGTTCGGCTCGTTCCCTCGAGAAAGTCATGACATGGTCAGCGCCGACAGCTGAATGATCCAAGAAAGGCTGCCGTTTCATCTGTGCAGATGGACATGTAACTGTAGCTCAAACAGGGAGACCGACCCCCTGTTTTTCCGACCCCCCTGAGTCATGTTCGGAAGATTTGGCCCAGTCTACCCAGCCAGGGCCACTCCCAACCAACGAACTTACTGATTTATTTTTTAAATGTTGCGACGATTCCTTTTGGTCACCCGCTTTTCTAATCTTTTCTGAGAGTATATGCAGTATATGTGACGTGTATCTCAATTGCCGTTGGAAATCAGCAAGGATTATTGAATGTTATTTAATCAGTTCTGCCATTCCCCCAACAGGAGATTTCCAGGCGCTTGCACTTGTCCAATGGCAATGCCAGCCTTTTGAACCAACTGTCATCAATGTCAACGTCACAATGCACTTGGATTGGGGGGGAGCTTGTGCCTTGCCCCATGCCTGGCTTACCGAAGTAGAAACAAAACAGCGCTCAAAAGGGGATTAGAAGGGCCAGGTGCCCTTGCCCAAACCAAAATCAATATTCAAGCGCTCAAAACTTTCAAAAACTGCAGCATCAGTAGCTCTCAGTGGCTGCTCAAGCTGACCCTCTCAGGGGTAGAGGATTGGGTTCCCACTCGCATTCACCACCTTCGTGCTGTTGGGACTCCCATTTGGCGCGGTGCTGTTCCGGAGCACGATCTCGGTGCGGTGGTGGAAGTCCGCCGAGACCGAGAGGGCCTCACCAGAAGCGGCGTGCTTCAACGAGGCCGGACACACCCCAAGGCAGCTCATGCCCAAGGAGAAACACCCAGATGCACTCTTGGAGCCCAAGGCAGCACTTATGGCATCCGCAGTTTCCTTAGGCGACTTGGTTCGGACCAAAATGATGGCTGTTAAGGCTAACAAGGTGCTTCCTTCCCCCAAAACAAAGAGTTCACCCTTTCATGAGCCAAGCGTCCATGGTCTCGCACAGTGCGTGCCCATTGGTGCACACTTCTTGGCATTGAGCGCGGGTCCAAGCATTCGCCCGCGTCGCCATTTGATAGCAGCCGATGTTGCATTGGAAAGCCACCGGCCCACAGCCAGCCGTCGCACTCTTGTCTAAATTAATGGCTGCCTGGGCTACCTGCTGAGCGTTGCAAATTTGGAAATGTGCCAGGCAAGTCCCTAGGCATTTCCTCACCGGGCGAGCCACAAACTGTGAAACCATTGAGTCACATGCTGATATACAGTTTTTTAATGTATGAATGTATGTATGCAGGTATGAATGTAAGGGTCCTTATTCATATGTAAGCATATTTCATCAACGTAGATTACACCCAAGGACAACATTACATAAAACTGGGGTTTGTGCTAATCATTCTGAACCCACTCTCTGTTGGATAGCTGCCGTTCACAGTGACTCACCAGGAGAGGCCTTGAACCAACTGACTCAATTGCTGTTTCAAAGCAACCGAGACTCTTGTACTGTGCAATGAAATCCCCAGCAGCCATGCCAAGGAAGGCCAGCACGGCGAATCGGAAGGCCATGGCTCCGAGAACACCAAAATTATCCCGCAGCCCTTGAAGCCGAAAGAATACCTCATGTAGGCGGCACCTGGGCTATAAAGGATTAAGAAAAGGTTTTAACATGTCAAAAGTATCAACAAAAATCATGTGCAATGCAGTTGTGTCAGTTGCAAGGTCAAGAAAAGGAGTCGCAGCATTTGGCAGCCCTAACGCAAACCGCTAAGCTATTTCAAAAAAATCAATATATGTAGAATATAATAGAATATACATATCAGCTTTTAAGTTACAAAATGATAAGTGGCCCTCATCTGACACAGCCTTCCTAAGAGTCTCCTATCCGTTCACTCCCTCGTTACATTCATCAAAACAAACATTCCATGTGCGACAACACCTATACCACTGTGCACCTTCCTAGAAACACCTCCGTACCTTAAGCTCACACGATCGACCGCAAGGACGGCCGTCCTCCAAGGTATCGTGCAGGAGCGCCGCTTGCAGCGTCTTCAAGTCGCGGATACCGACCTCCGCCAAGATCCGGGCCACGGCCAGCGGATGATTGATGTAGGGCGTCCTCTGAGGGTTCCTGAGCATCTGATCTCTGCGGTGCAGGCAGCAATCGATTGGTAAAAAGCAACATCTACAGATATCTACAGGAAACCACGCTCTTCACCCCAAAATCAATGGGTGTCCCAACCACGGTCTTTCCGTCTTCCCGTCAATTCCCGGCAGCCAATTCTGAGACAATAGCAATTGGCAGAAACCCTGCGCTTTTTGGTGCAGTTCACCCGAGGTCCATTAGAACATATTTGGGCCCAAGGGGCAAGATGTTGCCATGCCAGCACTAAGGAATAGACTATACTTCAAGAACCCTAAAGTTTACGCTTCTTACTCTGTTCCAACATGACACTTGCGGTCTACAGCGGATCGGATTAACACGTCCATTTTGCGTGGCAGGTACAGCACGGTCAGATTTCCACACCCGTTTAAATTTACTAAGGGGAAAGGGTTTGTGATGTTTTGCAAGTCAAGAAGCGCAACTTTTGGCACCCCAGTGTATTTGTGAAAACATGCAACCCCCCTAAGAAGAAACAGCCAAGCACCAGTGACTGCACGCTATGTGCAATACTAGTGTCTTCCTGGTTTGATTTTGATGCTTCGTTGCGGCGAAATGAATGGTCCTGGGGCAGGCCGCTGCAGAGCTGCGAGCAACAAACTCATCCAAAAGTTCCAAGCACTTTTGGAATACATCCCCAGTCTGAAGCATTTGATCTGCCTATAATTCACCAGATTGTGGTCATGCAGAATGTTAAATGTTACATCGTTGAGATTGAGCGTTAGAGTTCCAGGAAACTGTGGCATGTTAAAACATGGGCCAGCGGCTCTGTTGGTGTTATTGTTATATTTTGGACGCACCAGCCGGACATCCAACAAGTTTTTACATGCAGATCTTGAACATTGCAAACTTTTACCCGACTTGCTGCAGAAACCACTTTACGTTCCCTTGAAACGCATCTCTGTTGGCTTTGGACTGCAGAAACCACTCACTCAGAACTTGAATCCCAATAGCCTTCTTCTGCCTCTCCCCCCCCCCCCCAAACCCCGGCACACTGGTCCTAAAGAGCGCGGCTAAGGGCTGCGGTTCGGTGGCCGCGCTGGGGAGGATCTCCGGTGGCTCCAGTAGCGCTTCGCCGGGCTCCAAATCCGTGTGGAGGATGTCCTGCGTCGACGTGACGGTGGCGCGGTGGCGGGCCCGACCGGAAGCGCCGACCTGGCGGGCCGAAGCAAGGCGACATGCTCTTTTTTGGTCACACGGAGTCTGGGGAAAGCGACATCTGCTCCGTCCCAACTCTCACTACAGGACATCGGTGCTTTTCTCAAACTGAGTGATGACCAATGGGGAAAATAGGAACTGATCTGAAGAAAGGCGCAAGCTTCACTGAGGATGGCAAGCGCAGTTGATGTCGATTCATGTCTATAAGGTGTGGTGCTGGCGACAACGGTGTGCCAGCATGGCATCACACGCATTACAGCACGTAGCATACGCGTCATGAAGGGTGCGTGTTCTTGACTGGGATCGTTTGAATGGCTAGGATGTGTTTCTTCACGGTTGTCAAGGGCAAAGGCTGAGCAAGTTGAGTCATGCCTGTTGGCTTCGGATGAATTTGGCATTACTTACCCCAAGGAACCGCCAAGGTAGCTGACCCAGTCAGCCCTACCCACCAGGCATTTGCCAAAACAAAAATAGCTCCGGCATGCTCCGGCTATGCCACCGCTCACGTAGAAGGAGGCAGGCTTGAAATTTACGCAGGCCACACGAAATCAGCGGCGTCGATTTGGATTCGGGGTCTGTTCGGCCGTTGTCATACAAAAATGCGAATCTGTTTGCCAAAGAGGGGACCTTCGCCTGCAATACTGCAACAAACCTACACCATGGGCATGGATTTTTGCAGTATGTAAATTTTAATTCATCCATGTCATCGTTGCGTGACACTCTCCAAGTGGATTTCGTTCCTCTGATGTCCTTGACGCTCTTCCACCCAAAGCCCATGCTGCTGGGGTCTGGATCCACCTCGCAGTAGGCATCTAAGTCTTCACGCGGCTGTTGGCACACCGAAGTTAACTCCGGCTCATGCCCGTCATTGTCCTTAGCAATAGCATGCTTTTCCCGTGCGAACCCTGCAACAACTCCTGAATTTTGTTGAAAGACCACGTTGCTCGAAGTGGCGGGCTTCATGCAGTTACGGTTTGATCAAAAGGCTCCAAGTTTATAAGGTTTTTGGCCCGTAAACCACAGGTGTGGTACACTCCCAAACGAATTCCAGGGCCAAGCGGCAACCGACCCTCAAGTGGCACAAAACAGGGTTGCCTCCTGTCTCACCGGGTTGTTTGTTTCGGCCAGTTGGTTTGAAGAATAGCTGTTGGATGCTGTTGGCTCGGACTCCTGGGCCCAAGCAGTGCAGCTTAGCACAGCATCAAAAACCAACAATGCCATGGCAATGAACATGTTCTTGCGAATCTCATGAAGTATGGCCAAAAGTCCACTTGGATAAAGGTGTCCATGTAGGGTAGCAACTTCTGGATGGCCAAAGGGATCTTCTCTAAGGAATCTGCCACCTGCAAACTGCAAGCCCAAAGGCACGCTGTTCAGACGAGTCGCTCAAAATGATTCATACCCGGTCGGGGTCCAAAATCAAAAGGGATAGTGAAGAAATCCTCCTTTGGGATAATAACAAACAAATGTAAATTCATGTACAGTATGTTTGTGTTTTCCCCTTCTCTCACTCTCTCTCTATATTACATATATATATATATGAATATGTTCTTCTTTAATGAGCATGTGCAATGTGTAATTTTGTATCAATATGTGCGTGCGTGTGTGTGTGTTGTTTAATGTCTTCTTGTAATCCCTCGGCGCCGTGTAGCGGGGTGCCAGGCAATGCCACTGAAAGGGTCGCCTATTGACCATCGCAAGAGTGCACATCGCGTCACGGAAGTGTAAAAGTGAACATTGGCAGATGTGCACTTGGATTAATTGCGTTGCAGGATTCAGTGGCATCCATGTATATATAATTAATTACACGTCAGACCTGCCTTTCTACACACATGAAAGGAGCAGGGAGGAGAAAAAACATGGAAAAACAACCAAAGAAACCGCCAACATGAATGGCCTAACCCAGCCCATACGCGTGGCCGGTTTCCCATCCGCGCACCTGTCGCCCCGTCCCCTGGCATTTCCGACTCGTCGCTGGTCGCGGCGCGCCTCGACATGGCTCACCATCCGGCCCTCCAATCCACGTTGATTGGCCCGTTCCTGAGATCGGCAGCTCTCAGCATGTTGAGCTAAGGAAAGGCGACTGGCCAATTCGGCGGTCTGAATATGTTCGATACGAAGCATGGCTGAGGAGTTTGGTTGGAAGCTTAGGAAGATTTCGAGGACTTGACCTCAATTGACGGGCCAAAACGCCGGGACGTCTGAAAAGTCGGAATTCCGAGGTCGGACGAAGGTCGAGACCCATGGCTTGTCTGGGTAAGGACAGACCGAACGAAACGTGCTGGAAGGGCTGTGCTCAGCACTCGGCGCCGGGTTTCGTAGATTGTCTCCTCATGGGCGTGCACATACATGAGCACCACTCGCACCTCTGGCAGCTTCTGCCTCGGATGCGGCTGAGGAATTCAAATGGAAGTGGAATGGATTTCATATATGAATTCATATCATATAAGGAACAAAAAGTTCTTCAAAAAGAATCTAGAACTGAATCTAGTGTATTCTATATTCTGACAGCCGCAACACAACTACTACAGTACAAAAGTAATCAAACCAGCACCTTCAAAGGGGTCACCAATGGAAGCCCCCACACTACCTAGGGATCTCCATTGGGCAAGCTTTGGAAGCGCTAGGAAAGTATACAAAAGTGGAATTAGAACAGGGTTCAATTCGCTTTGGATATTGTCCCATCTACATAGTGGGAAATGCAAACCAAGCTCTCATCTCCACGTTCTTGAAATGTCGCTCGCTATGCACCCACCCACCCCTCGCCAGTACCAAGCGGCCTGATCTTTTGCAGGACCCTGCTGTACCAGCTGCCATGTCGCAAGGAACTATCTACGAGGATGTTACGCTTCTGCTGCAAGGCATACATCAAACCTCAGGGGCCAGCAGGGGTCTGGAGCACCGTGCTTGCGCACCCTTCCAACAGACCGGAGGGGTGGTCGAGTCCATCCAGCTGAAGACGTAAAAGTCACGGATGACAACCTCTTGTCAGGGGATTCGCTGATTTACCCTCTGTCCAACAACCATGGAAGTGAATGGCATGGCATGGCCATGCATGGCTCCTAGAATCCCAGAAAGTCCACGAAGCCGCGTGTCTTGGAGGCAAGGTCTTTGAGGTCTTTCACTTGACCAGCGCCACTCAAGCACTCGAACGGACCGCATTTGAGGCAATGAGGCAACCCAACTTGGAGGAAGCGGAAAAGGCAATCGCTTCCTAAATCCATTGGATTTCTCCGTCTGTGGACGCGTTCAACGACCCTGGCGGGACATCAAAACATCACGAACCATGAACCAGCCATATAGCTTCCAGGAATCATGCAGAATCATTGTCTCCTTGATTTCCCATGAGTACTGGAAAGAATCTAGCACTTGAACTCCCAATACCTGTAAATTCTTGAACCTCCAGTTGTACAGCCCAACCAACATATTTATCCAAACTCCAGTTATAGTCGCCTCACATGCTCCTCATGAGGTCTCCGCAAGCAACCAAAAACGCATCACATGTCGGAAGCTGTGCTGTGCTGTGCTGGATTCACTGAGGTCGTTCTTCCATGTTCCGGATTGACTGTATGTAAATTGAAATGAAGGGCCCCGCCAGCCGCCACCCCTTGAACTTGGGCATGCTCCAGGTGCCCCATCGCCCATGGCAAGCAGCTGAGCTCTGTGAGCAAGCCCGCTTCCAGGCGCGTCATCACCGCCGCACAGGCGCGGTTGTGCTCCATGTAGCCCATGTACTCTGGCAGCCTCATGCGGCAGAATGAGTGGTGGCTTGAGCAGAATGAGTGGCTTGGGGTGGTGCTTGTACTAGCCAATTAGGAACCCACCATGTTCGAGGGGATTTATATATATATATTATATTATATATATATATGTGTGTGTGTGAAGCCCTGAAAGCAGGTTGACGACTTCAACCTGTTTCAATGTTTCATATTGTTTCATGATACTGTATATTGATAGCTGGCCTTGATAATGGAGGACGGACTGGGACATGATCATTTCTGCCGTATCCAAGCTGCTGCCTAGGGATATGGATGAGTAAATCCCCACTTTGTTGCATACCCAAACCATCAATGTATGGAATAACATGGAATGGTTACTCACATTGTGGTCATGAATGGGACTAACCATTCCATACATTACATGGATGGTCTGGGATATATCATGTGCGTGCCCCTCCCTTGTCGTGAATCAACATGGCACACCCCCGAACCCACCAATTGCTGCTCTGAATCATGACCATGTCTTCTTCTTCGCCGCCCACGGATTCGACAAACAGATTCCCGAAAGGCTCCATCAAGGTATAAAAAGTCGTCTCTAACTTGTCAAGGGTCAAGGGTCTCCGAAGGGGGAGGGCACTCTTCTATATATATATATACATGATATATTATATATATCTATTTATATCACTCCAAACACCATCCCCTGACCATTGGAGGTCGTTTCACCCCAAAAACCACGTCGGACACCCCACCGGCCGACGTCTGCCCCGCTCGGTTGGTCGGAGTCGCTGTGCCGCCAAGTGATCGGGATTGATGTGAACGAAGTCCTTCCTGAGAGCGAGGCATGGAATGGCATGGAAGTGTAAAACCCCCCGTCCTTGTGGAGGAAGAAGGGTCTTCCAAGGGGGTGAGTATCCACTTCCATGTTAGTTCCAGGGAGTGTCCTTCCATGTTTGATTGGTCTTGGTCCTCGTCGACTCCACGCGCCCAAGCGGCATCGGCAAAATGCCCTTCTCGGCCAACCACCTGCGGTGGGGTTCCAGGTGAAGAAGCCAGGGGTTGACCACCACTCAAAGCCATATCCCAAACACTTCTGACTCAGAGGCACACCTACCTACATTCACCATACACGGAGTGTCTGGATATGGGTGTGTAGTTCCAAAGCGGCGCTGGGTCCGGCCACTCTTCCTCTATATTCAAGCGGGATCTGCTCAGCTTCCATGAGACCTGCAAAGGGAGGGAATCTACTGCAGATTTGGACATGCACCCTTTCCCCACCGCCAAAAAAAGTGAGATTGTAGAGGAAGTCATCTTCTGCTCAATATGAACTCTCTACGCATCGTTTGCCACCCAAATTTTCGTTCGTGCGGAAGGCTCGAGGAGGTGAGGTGCGAGTCGGAATCCATCAGCAGGCATCTTTCTCACCTCACCTTCAACTTCTCAAAAGCATCCAGGTGGCCCCGTCACCCCTTATAGCCCCTCAGTGTTGGGCACAGACATGCCTGTCACCTTCACCAGAGCGAAAGGAGCCCTGCATTCTGGGGATACAAAGGTGCTTTGCTTTCGGACGGTGAACATCTGGTCACCAGCCCAGGTCGCCCATGGATCCAAGAATGCCTCACATGTTGATGTCCATAAATGCTCCACGAAATGTCCGGATTGCCGATTTGTGCACGGTATGCTCATGTTCTTTGTTTGAAGACGATCATCACTTGCATGTCCAAAGGATCCTCAGAACCCAGAAAGTGCCATATGAGCACGCTACACCACACGAAAAAAAGATATAAGCCATTGACTCACTTCATTGCACTGTGCACCCTCCTTCAGTCCAACAACCTCCCATCATTATCGCAAGAGATCAACAAGGACATTTGTTCACATGTAACATATCCTTGCTACCCCAACTCACTCTGCGGTAGGAAAGCAGCCATGTCCTCCATCCACTCCCCCTACCACTTCCAATGTGTCCTTTCCACTACCTCCACTTCTCCTAATTACCCCACTCCATCTCCTCCATCCGCACCCATCCCTTCCCCACCTGATCACGTGGCTCTTCCCAACGCCCATGGCGCCCGCGGTGAAGACCAAGCGCGGCTCCCGCAGCGGGGCGCCGTGGCCGTTCAGTTCGACGAGGCGTCGGACCAAGGTATCCTGAAACCTGGGCGGCGACATCCCAAACGTGTGAAGCGGATGAAACGATGTGCCGGATGTGAAAGCAAGGTGTGACTGGTCATCTCAGAACCCAAGATTCAGTCTGAAAGTCTGTAAGGTGCCATGCAAAACTGACACATGATGGACCTGCAGCTTGACCTTGGCTGCTCAACAACGCAGGGTTGACCAAAGCTGCGACTTCCCAGCTCGACGGATTTGGCCAAACCACACAGCCCTCAGAACCTTGGTTGACCCAAACTGAACGAATAACCCCCTCATATCACCCATATCAACCCCCTTGTGGATGTCAATCGTCCGAAGGCTTAACTGGGTTGTACTGGGTTCGTTTTCAATTTTTGTTTTTGGTTTGCCCTCTGCATCTCTATGGCTTGCGGTCACAGACCCCAGAACGCTCGAAGTCTACCAAACTCCTCATCTCGCCCAGCAGCCGTTGACGTTCCAGCGTGTAGTGGCCATGGTATGATGCATCCACTAACCTCCTTGCCGCCGCCAATGGGCCTTCGGCTACTTGAGAATCCTGCCAGAAAAGGCGCCAGAAAAGAACCAAAAACATCCAAACAACCAGCACCGCCCAAATCATAGTTTTTGATGGATTCATACAAATCTGGAAGGTCCATAATCCACCCTTTGGGTGGTGCTGGTACTGGTCTGCTGTATAGCGCGACTTGCGGTCTCTGTCAGATATGGTCCGCTGTATAGTTACTCTCCTTACAATATTTGGCTCACTCTTTCCAAGTATCCCAAGTAGAGGTCCAAACTCACGAGGGGTTTCGTCCAAACTCATGGGGGTGCTGTAACCCCCCCCAAGGGCCCCCAGTCGAACTCAGATTCAACTGCTTAGTCTCCCGGAAAAGCTAACAAAAGGAGGGGTAGCCACTATGTATGTATATATAGGACTCCGAGCGCACCCACTTTTCCTTGGATTCGTTCCACCAAGGTGGCCTTGCAGGTGGCCCAAGGGCAACAAAAGGACGGGCTATAGTGACTAGAGTGACCGTTCGCCAGATTTCCATAGATGTCCTAATTCTTGTCCACGCCCACCACCCTCCACATCCTTCTGGGCATAGTTCTGCTGGGTGCAAATCTCCCAGTTGTAGCCCGCCACTGGAAACGCCGCCTGCGACACCTCCGCCTCCGCCACCGGCGCCACGGGCGCCACGTGTCCCGCGGCCGAGAACGCCCGCGTGGTGCGTTTGAGGCCCCTCCGAAGCACCTGAGAACGATCGCACATCGAAAAGTGATTTACAGTGACAGTGGCTTCTGATGGCACAATTTCCGCAAGATATCTTTAAGATGCAGGTGCATGTAAACTGGGTCCATGTAAAACTGGGGTGATGGTGCCGTCTACCCTTGAGACCACTGTACCAAACCGGAAGATGGAACTCCAACTCGACGAGTTCTGACGCGTGTGAGCGCCGAGTTTCTCGATCCCTGGAACAGACGAAGTGGGCAACAGTTAACCAAACTGTCCACGTGTTCCATTGAGTGGGGAAAACAAAAACCGAAAACAAACAAACAAAAAAACTTCCTTTTTTGAAGGTTATCCACTTGTTCCTGGGCAGTTGAGTTGGAGTCCAGTTCACAGAGAGCCAAGCTACGGCCATGAGATGCCAAAACCGGTGGTGACGGTGATGATTTATGTGCATAGAGGTGCCCGACTGTTGTCGAAGAACCCGACTGTTCGACTATCCCATAGGTACCCCAGGTGACCGGTGGTCACTTATAACCTCTCTTGGTCCTGGCCGTCAGCATGTTCGGTCTCGCTGCCAACTTCTAGTTTGCTTGTCAAAGGTAGCCCTTCTGATTCAAGGAGCCCATGCATTCATGTGAGACTTTTTCCCAATCACCCACTAATCTCATATCATAGGCTATTAAATGTCGGTGTTCCGGCCTGACTATCTGAGAACGTTGTCCCATCATCCAGCCCAATGCATAGTCAATGCGCACGTGACCAGTGTGATAACATCGGTGAGGAGTGTACTGGAGTGTGTAAGTGAAAACATATGTATATGCGTATGAATCAATCAATATCAAACATGTAAATAGATAGATATGACTAAAGCATTTACCTTCTATGTATAGACATCCTTACACAAACCAACAAAACACACACACACACATATATATATATATTATATATAGTATAGTCATATAGAAATATACACATATACTTACACAATCTTACACACACATATAATATGCAATTATATGCACATATGTTGACCAAGCTCGAGGCTTTGGCAGTTTGACCAACCTTGCAGCTTACCAAAGTCTTCAGCGAAGCAACCTTGTTTGCTTCCAATCGTTTTGGCTCCTGAAAGTTCAAAAGGAGTGAGAATGGTACTTTGGGGAGTTCCCTGTTGAGTTGCCTGTTTGGAGTTGCAAACGTCTCAAACGAGCTCGTTGCATCAAATGCGATGGAAAGATATGGAAAGTGGATGGGGCTCCCGACCAAGCAGCCCGGCAAAGAGGCCGCCACTGCAGGAGGTCCGGCTGCCCTGAGCAAAGCTCATGATTGCAAGTTGCAATGATCAATAACCCCAGCATTTGGTTCGTAAAACCCCTTCATAGGCGGGGATTATGAATCAAGAGTCTACGTTAAGTGTCACTCTGCCAGTTCCCACGTGTCCACACAAGTTGGGACAACACAAACAGTCACTCCGCACTGTGTGTAGTTTCATGAGACCGTCTGAATCCAACCTGTTTGTCCGAATCATTGAACATAGGGCCCTAAATTTGATGAAATTCACGTTGCAAAGTGATGGGTCTTCAGCTTGCATGATTCTCTGAGGGAGGAGATGGGGTTGTAGTTGTCTTTTGCCGTGCTCATCACCCAGCTGATCCGACCTGCAGCAGTATCTCATCTCTGTCCTCGGACGCACCGCCGACGCGGCAGCGACGCCCGTGAGTGGCACGTGCGCATGTGGCAGCGCCAGAGTTGGCGCAGCCATGGCCGCGCGGTCAATGAGAGATGACATGGCGTCAACAGGAAAAGGAGGCGTTGGAAGAGTGCTAGTGTCAGTCGGTTTCGCCCCAACTGAGGACCTTTGCTGGACTTCGTGAAGTTCTGGGAGGTTTGTCTCGGCCACTTTCGGGGCATGGGCACTTCACTCCACTGGTCTTTACTTGGTGGTGCTTCAGGACGCATGAATCCATGCACTTCAGGACCCTTTGGTCTTTCCCATTTTTTGGGGGGGTGCGTATACTTGGGAATCCTATAGCCTTCAGACTGTGCCACGGATCCAGATTGAGAGGCTGGGTGGATCTCGGTCGTGGGGGCGACAAAGGCCACCCCGTCAGTGCAGAAGTCCCACGGGGAGCTCCGTCTTTTCGCGAGAAGAACCCGCAAAGATTCGGTCCCTCTCCGATTATTCGGTCTCATTTCCATACCCCCCTTCGCCCACTGCGGCCAACTGTGGTGTCCATCAATGTGGTGTGCATGTGGGGAAGCGACTGCAGCCAAGAAAAGGAAGGTGAGCACACCAGGCAGGTCCAACGGAGGCCCGGAAGGCCTTTTTGGATCCAAACGAGAGGGCACGTGGTGCTGAGCTGATGAATCTAAAGATCAAACGTGGCATTGTGGCACACCCAGCCAATCATCTTCGATTCATCCATCGATCCCAAACTTTCTAGAACCTTCCCCCAAAGGGTCCAGGACCATGCTGTTGATGCCCTTCGGCCCAAAAAGAAATCTTTGGAACCACTTTCACCTCCAAGACCATCCTCAGCAGCTACCTGGATCCAAACCCCACAGAAACTCAGAAACAACGTAGTAAGGGAGACGCTGTCTCTGCCATCCACAATTGGAACGCATATTTGCTGAGAAACATCTCATCCAGTATCATCCAGTCCTTGGAATGACTGATCACCTACTCTCAGTCTACAACTATACAAGCTCGGAGGTCGGAGGAAAAGTGGCGTGCATTGATTGCTCCAATCAAACGTTCATCGATGACACTTAGTCCAAGCGGTGACACTTCAATATCTGCATTGAGTCTTATGCCGTTATGTGCACCGAACGGCCAGAAAGGGCGTTGCAAAGATCGGTCTCTTTGGATGAAGAACGAGCGGTTGAAGTGGTCTTCCCGCTACAAAACACGTCCAAGCTGAAGCCACTGCTCCATGTTTGGTTCCCAATATCCCAATATTGCCCTACATACATACGTATCCCCGGATGCCTCTGTCTAGCCGTGTCGGGCCAATCTCGCCCCAGGTTGGCCTCACACCATGCTCTCCGAGCACATCCAGCAACTGCCTCAGTAGCAGTTCTCAACTCACAAAGCCACGGGCAACCCTTGGGTATGGATTGCAAAGGCCATCGCCAGCAACACTTCGAATGGCCACCAGGTATTGGATGCTTTGGTGGTTCCCGCAGCTATATAGCTGGAATAGAGCTTCCAACACTGTACTTTACTTATTATCATATCCGGCCCGGTCTGCTGATCCTGGGAAAAGCCTCCAAATCAGCCATCAAACTCTCACGAAGTATCAAGTCAGCATAGCAGCATAGCCATCAAATCGGGACCACAAAACCTTCCCGCCAAAACGCGCACAAGATGGATCCACTTCGAACTCCAATATCTGAATGGACGACCGTGGGACTTGGTGAGAAAGAAGACGTGGCTGGCGACGTGCTGAGCTCCCAGACGCGTTCTTGCTCTTGATCCTCGAGGGAGGGTGGAGGAATGTGGAGGATGGCAGGGAGGCGTCGGTGATCGTAGGCGTATAAGCTGTTTGAAGTACCCATTTTTTGAGGAGGCTTCCTGCTTCTTCAAACTTCTTCAACTTATTCAATTCACAAGAATTGAGACAAAACGTGGAACATAGCAAACTGAAGGGACATCTTGGCAGTCGTCGCTGAACGTGCTCTTTCACTAAAGTTCGTCACCCGGGAATCCAATATTCCACTGGATGCGACACAACACCTGGCTACAAGTCTTGAAGTGTAAATCTAAACTTAGATCATATACCTAGCAGCCTAGCACTTCCAATGAGTGTACTTCCAAATCCATGTTCGTGAGCAGGAGGGTTCGGAGGCTACCGAATTGGCCAAACAAAAGCCACGAATCATCTGTCTTGCACGATGACCAAGAACGCTTGGCACGCAGCTGCCGAAAAGAGCATCGGCATCGGTGCACGGGAAGTCTGTCTGGTTTATGGTAAGGAACAAATGGTGCTCGCTAAAGGGGTGTGACCAGGCTTGGGCCTTCAATGCAGGAATGTATTTCCTGGTGGTTGTGCTTTTGGCATATTTAGGCTGTGAATCGATGCGTATGCATGCCTAGTGAGCAACATGGGCAAAAGCATTCAAAAGATTCAAAAGTTTCTGGCAAGCATCACAGAACCTGCTGCAAGTGGAATAACCATCACCCCTTTGGATGGCGGAGACCAAAACCCTCCGCGAACACCATCCCAGGCGACCTCCGCATATCTCCGGGGCAGTGCAAGTGCTCCACTCCTGGCCAGCGCCCACATGGTATTGGCCATGCCCTGAGGCGAAGCCTGGCCGGAGCAGGTATCAAAAGGTTTTGAAGCTGTTCGAAGCCTCCCGAGTCTGCCAGCCAAGTCTTTGACGTCCGATTTCATGGCTACCACATGCAGGTTGTCGCACTGGTTGTACGAGGCGTGCAGCGTTCAGCCCAAGTCCTCTAATCAGTCCTGTCAGCTCGGCCTCGTTTGAGACCAAGAGGTCCAGTAGCTTCTGCTCGATCTTCTGAGTTGGGCCTCAGCCATCGGACCAAGTCAATAAACCATCCCCAGCCTGTCCACTGCAAGGAGTTGTACCTATCTGCGTCAACTGATGCTTTTGTTCTCTGTCTCGCCTACACACCAGCCTCTTCACCTCGAACGCGTGAAAAAAATGGAAGTGAACACAACAGCCACAACAGCGCAAGTCTTGGAGCTGTCAAAAACGCTGCAAGTCTTGGATGCTGGTGAGTGAAACAGTGAGACAAGGGATTCTGGTTATACCGTGCATACCCCAGGAACAGAACACCAGGCAGCACCAGGATCCACGCTGGGTGTATTCATATTATTGACGGATAGACATGGCCCACAAAAAGGAAACCCAGTAGAGTTGAAAAGAGCCAGTCTGAGGCGAAGCTTTTTCCACCAAAGCGTTTCCAGATTTTCCAGGCAAAATGAAACCAACAACTTCCAGCACCCTCACATGCTTTTGTTGGAATTGTGTATAGGATGTTCTCAGTCTTCTCATTTTCTTCATTTTTTTGTTCCTTCCACCTTGTTCCTTCCACCGTCGGACCGCGGCTCGGTCATTACGCCGGCTCTCCGCTGTACGTCGGTTCCCCGAACCGGAACCGAGGCCCAGACGAGCCGAGGTCGCGAGCGGATCAAAGGCACCGAGCTTGGCGATGCGGTAGAGGGCGGCGACCTTTCGAGAGCGGAAGTCGTCCCCGGCTCGAGGCACGCGCCAGCGGAAGGGAGCGCGCTTGCGCGGCGGGGGCAGGTGTTGAAGGGTGCGGGGGGGGGGGTCGTCGGTCATCAAAACGTGTGGTGAATCACCCAGAACCGGTGTGATAGTCACATAGATCCATGCGTCGGTACAAGGACCCGTTTTTGGCGGAAAGCACTTCGTTTTGCCCGTGTTTTTCGGTTGTTTGACTGGTGGGGCCCCGGGGTCCCGTGCGAGGAGGGCAGGGGACTCCGTGGGATTCGTACCGATCCGACGGATCTGGCGCCACGCTTCGATCTGACGGATCTGGCGCCACCCATCGTGTAGCTGGCAGGTCACTACTCCAGGGATGGACTGGGAGCACCGAAGCAGCTTGCTTACTTGATCTTACTTGTACAAGAGGTCACTTGGAAAGGTGGGGCAATTTTCGGCCACGCGATGCCAATGCCGAAAGTGGGTGCAGTCTTCCGGAAGAGCTTTGAACAACTCCGAGCTCGCTCATTCAAGTCGCAACGCCCATGGGATCACCAGGGGAAAACATGGGAAGGCCATAACTGGGTTGGCGGATGGTTCAGGATGATCGGTTGGCCAAAGGGTTCAGAGGAGCAACAACACGTTGATTGCGGAAGCTCTGCACTTTCGGCCCCAGTCCCACAAGAGGGACATGCAAAAGTCAAAGTGAAAGAGCACCTCTCCCCCCCAAAAATGTATGCAACATCCTCATTGAAGGGGGTCTCCCCCGACGGGCTGGGTCTCTCCGCTAACGTGTGCCACTGTCAATCACCATGCAAACCTTTGGGCAGTGTCACGATGTCTGAGCGTCCAGCTGCAGCCACCAGATCGAGCCGCTAGAACTGCTGGTCACACAACTCCAACACTGCCTCGGGGAGACAGGCCAACTTCCGTTGGCTCCACCATGCTCCACCCAAGCTCTCTCTTCCTCCTCATTCGCTGCTCTCTCTCGCTGACACCCCAAGGTCGAAAGTTTAAAAAACCGTCCAAGATGGGTCGTAGGCGTAGGCGCAAATACACCGCTCAAAATGCATGTTTTTAGAGGCTGGGGGGTTTTGGTCAAGTGCCCATGACCTGAAGGCTGCTTGCGGCAGCCTTTCTCCCAGTTTCATCGCGGATGTGCTGCTGTCTCATACCATTGCGGCATCAAAAAACCTGACCTCCTCGGTCCCTCGGATGGGCCAATTCTGTGTCCAATTCGGATGGGGCCGCGCAAACACAGGTGGCACCATTCACCTAGAGGACCACAAATCCTTTCAAACACTGGTGATGACTCCTCATTCTATCATATTCTATCTACATGTGTGAGTTGCGGGGTGCTCGGCAGAACTTCCCCACGAGCACGTGTCATGAGCACGCATTCATGACGTGTCATGACGCACGTGTCACGATGACACGGCGCCCGGCGACTCATCGGGTCATGCCCAAAGACTCCCCACAGGCGGCATTGATCGCTACAGTATGGTACATGAAAGCCATGTACACCGTTGACGCCAAGGCACGCGTGCTTTTGATCGACCTAACGACCTAACGCCAATCCCGCAGGACACACAC